GAGCTGGTTTTCTTTGCTCGCCGATAAATGCTGTTTCTGAGGATGGACCTGTTGAACTTCCAGTACCTGGACAAGATGAACAACATCGGCATCCTCTGCTACGAAGGTACGCGCGCGGCGGGCCGGGCGAGCTATCGCGGGGGCGACGGCCGGAACAATGGGGCTGGCCGAGTCGGGGCGCAGGTGCTTTATGATACATAGTAGGGACTTTTTGTCTGGCGCCCCGTTTCCTGACAGCTGTGCCGCGAGTACCCTGGGCCTGCGGCCCTCTCCTCCCCCAGGGTGTCCGCCGCCCTGACCCAGGTAGGGAGGGCGATTTCTTCATCTCCGGGGCACTACGTGCGCGCCGGAGCCCCGGCAATGGCCCGACCGAGGGGTTCGGCCTGGCAGGCACAGGGGCCTTTTTGTTGTGGCCCCGAGGAGGAGCCTGGCGGCCGCACCTTCCTGATCCAGTAGGGCGCTTGCCGGGGTTTCTCCAGGGCAGGCTGGAGAAGAAAAGGAAGAAAAAGAAAACAGCAATAAAAACTCGAGAAGGGGAGCTGATTCGCTTGTATTTTTCTTGTAAAATTTCCAGGTCTGTTTGCTAATCAAACCTGGAAAACTTGTTTCTTTTTCCCCCTTTCAAGGAAAAAAAAGTCTCTTAAAAAATTAATTCTACAGATAAAGATCTTAAAGTTTTACAGAAAGGGTATTGTTACTTTTTACTAGTTCAGTCGGGAGAACTTTGGTGAATTGGTTTCTTGGAATCTGCTGCTGTGTGTTATCTTACTTCTGAACTCTTGGAAAAGGCCTCTCTGGAAGGGGCCCTGCAGCTTTGCCCGGACTTGCTTCCTGTGCAGTTGACCACGATTGTTCGTTTCTAGAACTCTTCCCCCCAGTGAACAGGAAGTAGAGTTTTAAGGCAGTTTCTCTTGTATTGTCTTCGTCGACACATAGCTGGATGTTTTGGAAGCCAGGCAGAATGTAGCCAGCGATCAGCCTGGGCGCGGAGGGAGGCTGGTTGGGAAATGGATACCAGCTGCAGTTTTCTCGTCCCGGTTGGGCCTGGAGGGTCAGCCGAGGGAAAGCCCGGCCAGGTTGATTTAGGGTTGTGTCGTTTGTAGAGATAGGTAGAGCCCTCTCTCTCGGTGTTTGGAAGGGAGCAACTTGGAGTTTGAGAGTTGAACAGATAAGTGGGAGACTAGGCTATCCTCTGGTTTAAACATCTGCTTCTATTTTCTTTATTATGAAAGTTAACATTATTTTAGCACCAAAATAAACACACGGATTGGAGAAAAGCACAGCAAAATGTGTGCTGTGCAGAGTGAGTGGCTGTGTCCCGTGGTTTCTGCAGTGTAAACAGCGCAAACATCTGGTCTGCCTGCACAGGGTGGTGGGAGATGGGCAGAAATCGGACAGGGGATTCGGGGGGGGGGAGTAATAAGAGTTGGACCAGTTGCAGCTTGCGTGTCCAGCGCACTGGGAAGATTGGTTTTGAAGGTCTCAGCCTCTGTGCAATCCAGGCAAGGAAGGCATTTGGGAAATGGGATGCGCGTTGGTAGGCAGTTGATTCACCCGCGGCACAGACACAGACAGACAGCTTCCTACGGCATACAGGTCTGGGAGGAGGGAATTCTGCGACCCGTTCTGAGGTGTAGATGGTTCCGTTTGGTTTCCATTTTAAACCATTTGCCTTAGTTGTCCCAGACATAGTTCTTCCTGGAATCAACTGTGTGTCCTTGCCAGTTTTGTTCACTCTTTCTGGCGACTTCCACGCAAGTAGACCTTTTTGGCCAGTTACCTGCAGCAGCCCAGGTCTCCCTGAATCTCACTTTAGAACCCTCTCTTGATTTTATTTACTTTGGTGGTGCTGAGATGGAACCCAGGGCCTCAGGCCTGAGCTCATCTAAAACGATTGAGGTGAGGACCTCCTGCTTGGTCCCTGCAGGCAGACCTGGAGAACAAAGGGGTGACCAGCCACCAGCAGCAGGTTTGGCATCTGACTGTTAGGGTAGGACAGGGAGAGGCCAGGCCCAGGTAGGAAGGCTGGGAGTCGGCTGACTTCTGGGCACTGGGTGCTTCTCCGATGACCAGCAGATTACTGAGTTCAATGCTTTTGTTCGAGGACCTCGTGGTCACCCTTCCTCACCCCACTGAATATTTCTGTGGTGGTCGTGGGAGGCCCACTTTTCTCTGGTTGCCTCAGAAAGGTCATAGGACAAACCCAGCCCTGGTTGGTTTTCTACTTCAAGTGTTTGGGAGCCTCTTGATGGCATGATCTGTGTCCTGCTGCTGCTTGGGTCCCAATCCCTGCTGGGCCCAGAAAGCGGCAGCATGAAAGTGCTAGCATGGAGGTCCGCTCAAAAACAACCACCAGAAGATAAACCCACCTCTCTCCAATGGCAGCTGTAGTCTCTCATATATAATTTAGTACTTAATTATAGTCTGCCTTGTCTTCTCTAATTACCTAATTACCGCGCGGGGCTTTCCAGGGCCCCAGACATCTGATAGCTTTGCCTGGTTTTGGGGAAGGACTGAGGCCCAAAGCTGCTTTTCTGTTTGGGTTTATTCCGAGAGTTCATTGCAGAATGGAACTGAGTCGAGAGCGTGTGGACTGGGCTGTTCTCGGATTCTGTCACCCACGCTGTGTCCCCAAGGGGCGTTTTGTATCTGCACAGCCCCCTGCCCCCAGGCCTGTCGTTGGACCAAGTTCAGAGGCGGATGAGATAGTCTGCTAAGAGCTGCTGACCGCTCTCCCTGCAGTGGGGGACTTCCGAGTCCCTGTGTGGCTGACAGCTCCCAGGGAGGGCCCACTAACTTCCTGGGGCCAGGGAGCAGGTTGGATGGGCTTTTCTCAAAGTGGCTGATGGCCATAGTGACCTGGGGCTGAATCGGAGGTGTCCAGGGCTGTGGCCCTGAGCTGCTGTCACTGACACTGATTGTGGGTTCCGGGCCATCCGTGTGTTAATTGGTAGAGGAATCCTCTCCTAATGTAGTGGTGAGGTAGGAATGAAGTGTAGATTGTGGTCATCGAAAGTTCCTTGGACTCAGACTGACCCTTTGGGAACAGTCACCACCAGTGCCACCGCTGCCTGTGTCTGCAGGCAGGGAAGGAGACCCAGGCCTTCCCAAAGAGGGGACCTCTTTTGTTCCTGCTGGCCAACTGGGTGTAGGAGGGCAGATGTGGGAGGCGCAGGATGGAGGAAGCCTGCCTGCCTGCCCGGAGCCCAGGCCTGCTCTGTGGCTCGTAATTGCATGTGGCCTGGGATCCGAAGGTGTGGCGGAGACTCCTCCCTCCCGAGTTACTGCCCCGCCCACTGCTCCACCCGTCCCTCCGCCCCTTCGGGAAGGGCTGCTGCTCTTAGCTGTTTATCTCCTGGAGCCCAGCCTGGCTTCTGCGAAGCAGATTTCTCTCCTTTCCTCCTCCCGACTCTTGGTCTCCATCGCCTACTCTTGTGGGATGCCGGGGTTTGTTGCAGCCCCCTTGGGCTGGGAGGACACCCAGTACCCCTGGTTGTAGTGCTGTTCCTCCTGGCCTCGTGGGTGCTGCAGAAATCTGATTTTGTGGTAAAGAAACTCAAACCAGATTGAGCATTTGCATGTACCCAGATGTATAAAAAACAGTTTTGTGGGGAATCTTTCTGGCTGTGCTTCCTCACCATGTATTTAACGCTTATTAATGATGATTTGTAGTTAATGGCATATTTATTTTGCTCATGGTAATTATTTTTTAGCCTTGCTCCGAAGTGTGTAGTAAACAGTAGCTCCCCTCTGACTTTCTTACTCCCCCCCCCCAAGCAATGACTTAAGCATGGACGCTTGTTTTGAAGAGTGGGGCCTGGGAAGGATTTCAGCCTCTCCGTTTGTCCTGTCTCTTTTCTTGCCTGGTGAATGGCTAGGTTCTGCGAAGTTCTGAGGACTTATTTCTGTTTGCTTTGCTATCTTGCTTTGTAGCCTGCACTTGCCCCCTGGAATTCTGAGGATTATTTTAATTTTAGGACATTGTATATAGAATATGTTTTAATCCTGACAAATGTGAATCATCACTAGTTGAAAGAATGTTTGTTTACCCTGGAGAAGATAGAAAATCTGTTATTTGAATTCTAGCTTCCCAAATGCTTAACATTTCACGGTTGTTTGTAAAGGTGTTCTGTAACAGAGCAAAGTGAATGCACTCAGTCAGGAATGGAGGAAACGCTGGCCCACCCCCCTCGCTGCCCAGCACCCTTGCTCTTAAACATCTAAGGAATGCCTGTCTGCCACATGGCTGTGGAATGCGTGAGGGCCTCTCCACTCCCTCTTGGTGCTGTTATGAGGTATGGCTCCATAGAGCAAAGGGCTCAAAGCTTATGGGGAGTTTACCGGTAAAAGTCAGTGTGGCCAGGCCAGGCTGGAAGTGGCAGTGCATCCCAGCACTTGGGAGGCTGAGGCAGGAGGATCCGTGTGATTTTGAGACCAGCCTGGGATATGCAGTGAGACCTTGTCTAAAAAAAAAAAAAAAAAATTGGGTCAAGAAAAGAGTAAGCCACCTCTTCAAGGATCAGGATCTCCCCAATGCCAACAGCTCATCAGAGTTGTAACTTGCTTCCCTTGCTGCCTTTATTAATGTGTCATTCTAAGCAATGTGTAATTGGAGCCCTCCTCAGAGTAGGAGTTACCCGGAGTGCACCCCTTGTGCACCCTTATCCCCTCCCATGGATCGCAGGGATCTCACATAGGCTGAGCCGAGTGCTCTAACCCTGAGAGCTCCCGACTGAGTCCTTTCTGTATCTTTTTAAGTGAGGTCTTGTGACACGGGGGAGAGGCTGGGCTGTGGAATTTGCGGAGCCCGGCCTCCTCCACCTGCTGCTGCCTGTTAGCAGTGCTGGTGGCGCTGGTCCGTTCTCTTTCCGGTTCTCATCCTCACCTCCTGTCGGGCCCCACAGCCTCTGTGCGCCCTTCCGCACGTGTGAGGCGGGACTCACGCAGACACCTGACTCGCCTGAGGTCTGCAACTATGACTTCAGATGGTGAGCCGGCCTTGTTGTTGTGCCAGTTTCTTTGGATGTTAGAGCAGGGACTTTTGGACACAAAAGACTTAAATTGCTCCTGTGTGCCAACATTGCCCTGTGTGGTAGTGATGGCTGTTGAGGATCCGCGGGTCCCTGGAGCAATAGCTTGCTTTATGCACCGCCTGAAATTAGGAAGGACAAGGATTTCCCCCTTGTGCCACTCGTGATTTTGATTTAATATCTGTTTTGCATGAAAACAGTTGCCTGTTGATTGCTCTTGGCTGATGGATTTCAGCAGGTTGAATGCAAGGAAGTCAAGGTTTGGCGCGCATGTGTTCTGCCAGGCCTGGGCGGAGCTCCTCCCAGTCGCCCGGCTGCACAGGGCCTGGGTTTCTTTGCAGATGGTGACGGGGAGCGATGAGTGCAAATACCTGGACACTTTCTCCTCCAGAAATAAACTTCTTCCATTATACGGCAACAGTATTCGAGGGCTGGAATTGGTTTCTAGTTTCATGTTAATGTCGGCAGCTTTTTCCTTTACCCATTTCCTTGCGTTCTTAAGATGCACAACCTTTGAGATGGTGGTTTCTCTTGCATAGCTAATGAACTGTTGACTGACCCCACAGAGAACTCTTGTTTTATTTTCCTGCCAAAAAGCTGTGAGCTTAACAGTCACCCAGGAACGTGATGGAGCTCCCATTAAGGGTCAGAGCCGAGCTGCTGTACTGGCCTTGAAATTTCTGTGGCACGGAAGGTAAGGGGGAGGGAAGACAGTTTTCGTCAGCGTAAAAGCTGCGTAAAGACGTTCAGTCCTTCTCTGCCACCTTGAAAATCGGGAGCACCTCCACCCGTTTCCGGAGACCAGGACTGGATGGAGCCTCCCCCCCCGGGAAAGATGGTAGCGTGGCTGTGGAGGACTTGCTGCATGCTGCTTGCCCAGTGTGGAGAGGACCCCGCGGAGGACCCCCAGGCCACCTTGCTTCCCCACCCCAGACTTGTGGGCATGCCTGGACCGGCTGTCCGTGGCTGAAAGGACCAGGGACTCACCATGGATCGGTTTCTTCTCCCCCTCCTGCGACTTTCTCCTCACTGTGTGTACTTGTTCAAGTTCCTCCCAGCCTGAAACAGAAATGCGCCCTTTCTGGGACCTCGTGTTTTCCTCCCCATCCCAGTTACTGAACAGAGGTCACCTCATATCTGCCTCCTCTCTGCCCATTTTCTCCTTCATCTGCTATCACCTGATTTATTTATTTATTGGTACCAGGGATCGCACTTGGGACCTTGTGTTTGCAAGGCAGGCAGCAGAACCACTAAGCTAAATCCCCAGCCCTGCTATCGTCTGATTTAAGAATTTTTAAAAATTTGTTTGAGTCCTGGGCATGGAGGTGCAGGTCTGTAATCCCAGCATTCTGGAGTGTGAGGCAGGAGGATCTCTGCAAGTTTGAGGCCGGCCCAGGCTACATAGTGAGTTCAAGACTGGCACAAACTACTACATACAAAGACCCTGTCTCAAGAAAGTTTTTGTTTCTGATTAACATGCCAAATCAATGCTTCCCAGGTTTCTGCTCCTGCGACTGCTGAAATTATTCAGGACGAGGTGATGTTGCACTGGGAAGTTCAGGAGATGCATTTTAGTCATCGCCTTTACTGCTTTCTTTATGCCATGTGACGCTGAGTTCTTCCAAGTTCTTCCAAATTCTTCCAACTCCTGCTTGGCTCCGATCCTAGCCCAGGGCCCGCTCCAATGAGAACAGGTGCTAGTGTGCAAACCTGAAGCCGTGTGGTCAGGGTGGGCAGTGATGAGAGGGACAGGCAGGTCGTGAGATTTAAAGATTGGCTGTTGTCACCACTTGGGACCCAGTGGGGGGCTGTAGAGGACTTAGCATAGCAGGGAAATGCACCTGCTGCCTGGGCCTGGCCGGAGTGGTGGTCACCAGGAGGAGAGGAGTGAGTTGGTCAGGAGGTCTCCGAGGGGGTAGGCAGGGCCTGGTACCTGGGAAGACATTCGTCACTTTCTTATCACTGGGACACAATACCCAGCACCCACATTGCCAAGGAGGAGAGGTTTACTTTGGCTCATGGTTTGTAGAGGGTTCAGTTCGTGGTGTTCTGGCACCAAGGCAGGGTGGCCTGGCAGAGGGTTCTGGTGGAGAGAGCTGCTTACTGCATGGAGGACAGGAAGTAGGGGAGGGGCCAGGGGAGAAGGAAGGAGATAGACCCTTCCAGGCCTCACCCACAGTGACCACATTGTCCCCCCCCAGGCTTCACCTCCCAGTGTCACATTCAGCTGTGACCTCAGCAGTGACCAACCCAGTTCAAATGTCTCACCCCCATGATCCTACCCCAAAGCTCCCCCTACGAGCCCATGGGCCTTTGGGGGATATCCAGATCTGGGGCATAAGAGGAAGATGAGAGTGGCCCAGGTTCTGGGGTGAGGGTGTGAGCTTAGTTTCTGATTTTTGTTGTATTGTTTTTTTGAAACAGGGTCTTGTTGTGTAGTTCAGGCTGCCTTTGCACTTGTGGCAATCATCTTGCCTCAGCCTCCCAGGTGCTGGGGTTACAGGTGTGCACCACCATGCTTGGCTCTCTAATATGTTGAGTTTGAAGAATCTTTGCGATTTTATGGGTATGTGTTTCTAGCACTCAGAGAAGTCACTGCCTGTGATACCAAAAACATGAAGCATTGGGCAAGGATGGTTACTCAGGAGTAAATGATCACACAGCTGGTGCTTAGGTCTCTTTTTCTCCTATTTTGTTTTTGTTTTGGTACTGGGAATCGAACTCAGGTCCTTGTGCTTACAAGGCAGGTGGCAGAACCACTGAGCTAAATCCCCAATCCTGGTGCTTAGGTCTCTTAATTTTCTGTTGCTAAACTAAGCAGATAACTGATCCCTGCCTTTAATCACGGCCCCTCTAGGCCTCTGTGCATGGCTGTGTGGATTGCCACGCCCATTTCCCCTCTGGTCTCATCTCCCACCATCCCAGCCCACTCTGATGTTCTGCTTCCTGCTTCTCTGAGCTGTCCCCACCCCGCTCCTTTCCCTGGGTTTCTGTTAGTCTCAGGCATCAGGCTCCTTCCTTGTGTTAGGGCAGAGCTCCCCAATGAGGCAGGGTCTGTCTAGGCTGACCTTGCTCTTGGGCCTTGCTCCTGCCTCAGCCTCTTGAAGAACTCAAAGGGCTTTGTCTAGAAGTAACTGTCATCCCACTTTCTTCTCTGCCGGTTTAGGTGTTTGTATACTACACATATTTCTGCAACAGCCTTGATTTCACTGTTGCTCATCTGACTGCCTTACTGTAATTTCTGGGAAGGTAGAGTTTTTGTCTGTCAAATCTTCATTCTTAGAACCAAGAAAAGCCAGGCATGGTGGCCCCAGCCTGTTAACCACAGTATCAGGAAGCTGAGCCAGGAGTTCAAGGTCAGCCTGGACTAGATAGCTAGACCCAGTCTCAAAAAACCAGACCAAACCCAAACAAACAAAAAATCCCAAGGAAGTGGTGTCAGTTTATTAATGAACCCACCGGCGTCTTTCCAGTAAAGAAACACTGAAATTCAATGATTTTAGCCCCAAAGAGAGGTAATAGTAGCCTAGGTTCTTAGAGGAAAGAGGACACTTGAGGAAAGCAGGGTGTCAGTGGTGGGGAGCAAGTCCTGAGGCCCAGGCGGGCTCACTGGTGGACGTGCCATTGCCACCGCTCTCCAAGCCCCAGTTCCCAGTCTTTGACCATCTCTTCAGGGAGCCACTGCACCAGACACCGCTGGCTGGCTGTGTGTTCTGGGAATGAGACCGACCGCAAGGACCTGGTTTCAGGGGTTCCAGCAAAGACCCTGTCTCCAAAACAAAAGGAAAAAACTAGTTATACTCAAACTTGAAAAGTACCTGCTTTTATTTTCAAACTTCAGAATGTAGATATGAGTGGATGACTTATTTCTCTGTGGTCTTGTGTATGAAGGAAGCTTGAACATGTTTTCTTTGAGTCTTTTGCTCAGCTCATTAACCACCATCAGGGTCAGGCTGCCTCCCCGTTTCTCTTGGAAGCCAGTATTATCAGCCTGGTGTGTATAAAAGACCGCGTGATTCATTTGGGTGCTGGTGACAATGAACTCTGTTTAGATATGTTCTTAGACTGCTCAGGTCAGACCTCAAGAGGTGATGCCCTGATTGGGACAGATACTGGTGTAGATGGTGAGGCTAATAAGACACAGACTTGGACTGGAATTTTCTACCTATTCCTTTTGCCCTTCCTCAGCTTTTCTTTCTTTCCCTTGTATACCTGCTTTTATTTTGTTGTTTTAAGAGAGGACCTCACTGAATAGCCCAGGCTGGCCTTGAAGTCACAGCCTCCCGAGTGCAGGGATTGCAGGTGTGCACTACCCTGCCCAGCTGTCTGTATTCTCTCTTTTTGGTTTTTTGAGACAGGGTCTCACTACGTAGTTGCGACTGACCTGGAACTCACTATGTAGCCCAGGCTGGTCTCAAGCTCACAGTGATCCTCCTACCTTAACCTTCCGGGTGCTGGGATTACAGGGGTGCGCCCCCATGCCCGGCTCTTTTCTGTGTTCTTTTTAAAGGCAACAGCCAGTTACAATGACAGTTCAGAGCGGGTTGGTCCCATCCTGTGGAATCATGTAAGTACCCAGAGCTTATCTCTGTTTTGTTTCAGGTTAGCATTTGGAAAAGTAGAATGACTTTAGTTTTGCCCGTGGTGGTTGGCTTTGGAATATAGAAACTGTGGCCTCCAGTTTTAAAATTTGCTTTTAATGCTTCATAGCATGTGGTCTGGGTTGACCCAGATCAGGATATAGGACACCCCAAAGCTTCGTGGCGCTGTCACTGGGCAGCACCTCTGTTCCCTCAGATGACCTCTGTTTTGACTTCTAGAGTTGTACAGTAGTTGTGCCTGGTCTGAAACTTTGTCATTTGCGTCCAACTCTTGTACCCAGCGTAATATTTTGAAATCCATCCATGTTGTTGCATGGCCAGGTTTTTTTCTGCGGTGTTGTGTTAGGGTTCATCACATGATTGTGTCACACTTTATTATCTGTTTTAAGGTTGATGAACATTTGAGCTTTGCTATTTATTTATTTATTTTGTTGTGGTACCAGGGATTGAACTTGGGTCCTTGGCACTTTTGAGGCATGTGGCAGAACCACTGAACTAACTCCCTGGCCCATCCAAACATTTCTTACGAGAAAATTCACACAACCTACATACAGTATTTTAGGGCCAGGCACGATGGTGCATATCTATAATCCCAGTACTTAGGAGGCTGAGGCAGGAGGACTGCTGTGAGTTTGAGGCCAGCCTGGGTTATAAGGCCAGACTGGACTATAGAGCGAGATCCTGATTTTTTTTTTTTTTTAACCATTTTGAGGTGTAGTTCAGTTTGTTGTACTATCCCAGGACAAGCTGTGGACAGAATCCTCTCTCTGAGGTAGTTTGGCTGCCCTGTCTGCCTCTCTGTCTTGGCAAAGATTTGGTGTCTCTGAGTCTTGTAGATTTTAGCCTGACTGGGAATTGTGGGCAGGTTGAGCTGGTTGTTGTGAACCTGCAGCTTGTTATTTCCTGGGCTTCCTGTTTGCTTTCTGCTGAGCGGGACCTCGTCAGAGTGTAGGAAAACGAAGGCCCTGTTGGCGCCCTGCCTGTGTGTAGTTCTCGCCTCATTTCAGGGCAGAGGTGGCCGATGTGGGTGTCGTCAGAGGAGGACTGCTTTTGCAGATGGGCAGTGGCAGTGGCTCCCAGCGTGGAAAGCAGTGGGCAGCCGGCTTAGGGGCTGCCAGGAAGCAGAACCCTGGCCTAGAGGACTCTGTTTTGGGAATCGCTTCCTGTAGTATGGTGTGGCTTTGCTTTATCTGTTTGGTAGTGATATACCCAGCCACTGGCCTGTGAGAATAAAGCTCCAGGGTTACACTTTCTTTGCCTCAGAGCTTTTTCTGTTTTGAGACAGGTTGTCACTGTGTAGCCCAGGGTGGCCTGGAACTCACTGTGAGCCTCCTGCCTCAGCCTGCGGAGGGCTGGGGTCACAGGTGTGCACCACCACGCCCACTAGCATCAACCTGACTCACGCTCTGCATTGCCAGCGGAGCTGTCTTTCATGCTTTCCTGCCCCTTCCAGCTCTGGGCCCTAAAGGTAGGTTCGGCCCAGCTCCCAAGTGAGATTTTCCCTGAAGCAGGAATTTAATCTGTGACACTTCAGTGCCCAGCAAGATGCCATGTGCTGCTTCCCCTAGTGCCTGTCCCTCTCCTGCACTGTGATGGAGCTCCCTGTCCCTGTCCTCAGCTGGCGGCCCTTTCACTTGGCACCTGTTGTCTCTAGAGTAACAGCCAGACTGATCACAGCAAATTCAGCACTCCTGAGTGACCTTGGAAAACGACACAGGGCCCCAGCCCACCCCACGGGGCTCCTCAGACGCTGTAATCGGAAGAACCGGGCTCAGGTGTGCACATCCATGTGGGCACCTCTGTCCACAAGCGGTCTGGATGTCCCTCCAGCCAGTGACAGCTCGTCGGGACTGAGGATGTTTGGGTCACGCTAGGAAAGATGTTGTGAAAAGGATCACAGTCATTCGCATGCTTGCGGAAACACTTCCCATCCGGACTGGCTGCCGCACACACACTGCATACACACTTGTGGTCTGCCGTGAGGGCCCAAGCTCAAAGCGCCTGCCCGCTTGCTCACTCACACGCTGTGTGCCTATCTCCAGCACTGCCACTGCCCTGTGCCCTCCAGGCTGGGAAGGGGAAGCTGCTGGCTTCACCTCCTTTTCAGCCTTGCCCTTTTCCGTGTCACGCGGCGGCTGGCTGTGGCGCACTGGCCGTTGCCCCTCGAGTCACTTCGGGGTGGTGTGCGTGGCACCACCCTGTCGCTGCCTGGAGGGTTCCTGCTGTGACTGCGCAGGGTCTGAAGCTGGGGACAGTGGGAGGAGATAAAAAAGATGAAGAAACCAAGAAGGATACATACCCCTGAAGGAGAACCCCTGAAAGCTGGGACCAGGTGGGACCATGGCCACCTGGAGCACCCAGCACTCTTTATTCCTAGTGGAAGGCAAGCAGGAAGGGAAGGCAGGGCAAACAGTGCTATGGGGCCTGTGTGGCCTAGGCAGACTGTAGCCTGATTGTTTCCGGATGGGGCCTGTGCAGGAAGGGAACAGGAGAAGTTACATTGTAGCTGTCTCCTGGGTTTGTGCAGTCCAGGGTCTTAACTGAGTCCGACTGTGGAGGAGAAAGGGCCATCTTCAGGCTTTTTCCACTGCAGGTTAGTAGGTTTGGAAGTACCCCTGGGACACCTTCTGCTTGCAACTGGGGGAATGAGCACGCCCTGTGCTCCACCCTGTCCAGGGCCTGTCCTTTAAGCACCAGGAGGACACTGAGTGACATCGGAGCCATGTGACTGGCCATTTAGTTGTGTGCTTGTGCTTTGACTTAGTGTTTGCACGTGTGTGTGTCTGGTGCCCCTGTAGCTTTGACAGATACTTGCAGTACCCAGGGCTTACTGGGAAGTCAGAGAGAAAGAGCCCCACATTTTTTTACTCTCCTACTGCCCACAATGTTTCTACTTTAGTTTTCTTTCTTTTTTTATTTTGGAGACAAGAGTCTCTGTATGTAGTTTGAATGCACTATGTAGCCCAGGCTGGCTCCTAACTTGTGGCAATTCTGCTTCATCCTCCTCTGAGATTGCAAGCATGCACCATCTGCTGTAGTTTTAATACATAATTGTTTTAATAGGTTTGCTGATTCAAAATTCACATATTACACAGGTGATCATTTCAAGTATACAAATCAGTGGCTTGTTTATTTCTTGTGGTGCTGGAGATGGAGCCCCTGGCCTTGTGTAAGGCTGTTGCTTTACCCTGAACTGTACCCTAGTCCTGTGGGCTTTAGTGTATATATAGAATTATGCAGCCATCACCACTATCTTTGGTTTAGAGCATTTTCTTCACTCACCAAAAGAAATTATTTTGCTGGGAGCAAGACCCCTCCCTCCTCGTGATCCCTGGTGACCACTATACTCTCTGTCCTCCAGATCTTCTCCTGGGCACTTTTTCTAAATGGAGTCATATGATGCATGCTCTTTTCTGATTGGCAGCTTCCACTTAGCAAAAGGAAAGATTCATCCATGTTGTGTTGAGTAGTAGTAGTCTTGTGTGGATGCAGTACAATTGATGTATCCGGAAGATAGTGCTTTTTGAGAATGGATAGCTCCTGGATAATAGCAGGGCTGAGTAGTTTGTTATTGTTGTCAGCTTTGTTGTTTGAGACAGGGTCTCATTTGTAGTTCGTTCTGGCCTTGAACTCACAGTGATCCTCCTGCCTCAGCGTTCTGAGTTCTGGGATTACAAGTGTGTGCCATCATGCCCACTTTGGGTTGAACAATTACAGAGACTACATGTCCTCTTCACTGTCCTTTGCCTATGACAAAGCAAGAGGAAAACTTGCCATTGGTTTTGTGATTTATTCTTGAACCTCGGGAAATGAAAAGTCACCTGTGGTCTAATCCCTGTGGAGCAATATTAACATGGTTTGTGTTTAGTTTCTAAGGGACATTTTCTGTTCAGTGATCCCTGTCCAGTTTTAGATGGATACATAGGTTATAGGGTTTGAAAAATGCCAAAATCATATGTCAGAGACTTTACCCAGTGTCATTCCTAAGCCACAGTGGATCATACAGTAAGCATTGTACGGTTCTGTTTTCAGTTGTCATGGATTCAGATGTGACAGGTTGCCAGCTGCTGGGAATACTGCTAGGAAACCTACTCAGAGGTTTAAATGAGATGGATGCCAGCGGTGGATTATTTGACACCTACAGTGATATCTAGTTATCCTGCATAGTCTGTGCCCTTCAGAAAGCAGCCAAGATAGAAGCAAATGCCTCTGGCACTGTTCGTGGTTTGGAGGCAGAAACCTTTGGAAGTGAACATCTGATTTTTTTCTGGATTTATTGCATCAGTTTCCCATCACTGTGACAAAGTACCTAAGAAGATCAACTTTATAAGAGGAAAAGTTTGGTGCTACCACCTGCCTAGCAAGCACAGGGTTCTGAGTTCAATCCATGGTACCAAAAAAGTAAGTAAATAAAGGCAGGCCTGGGGAGTGGAGAAGGTTTGATCTAGCCCAGTTTCTGAAGTTCCAGTCCATTGGTGCTTGGCCCTTTCGCTTGAGGTATTATAGATAGATAAGTGGTAGAAATAGGCAGTCAGACAGGCCCTCAAAGGAGTCAGTGCAGAAGATGAGAACACATTGGAATTGGAGCTGGAAGGGCATCTAAAACAGATTAAAGTCACGATAGCCAGATTTATATACTCCCCTACAGGATAAATGGAAGCTTGAGATTATTGGTACCACCTTTTGAGCTTTCCAGTATAAATAAACCATCATGGGGCAGGGATTTAGGTCAGTGGCACTGCGCCTGCCTCACAAGCACAAGGTCCTGAGTTCGATCTCTGGTACTGCAAAAACAAAACAAAACAAAAAACATCTCCTTAGGGGTGGGCCATCCTCCCACCCACTAAGACTGTAGATTATTGGCCAAGGTTAATGGTGTCATCCACATGCCCTTGTTACTATTAGCCAAGCGGCTATACTTGTAATCTTAATGGTTGATTATGGCTTTGACTCACATTGTAACCACCTCATGAATTTGCTCTACAAAACTTTCGCAGAGAAGTGGGCTCACCGATTGAGGAATTCTCCTATCTCTCAGGAGCCATTCCTGTTCCCCAGTAAGTTTTCCTACTCTTAACCTCTGTTGTTATTAGAGTTAATTCTTCGACTTTGGGGAACATGAACTCAGTGTATCTGACTTCCAGCCGGTTGGGAATTACACGTTTTCTGCTGTATCAGCGGGGCAGCAGTTACTACCTGACAGTGGGGTGGGGAAGTTGCACAATAGTGGCTAAGCAAAGACAGGAAGGGGCGGGTCACAATGTCTTTTAGGTCACGCCCCCAGTCCCGTGACTTCATTTCCTCCCCCCTGGGGGGGCGGTGCTTCCCAATATCAGGGCTCTTGAGGGATCCTTATCCAACCATAAGCCAGGGTTAATGATGTTATTTTTGTTTTGTTTTTCTTTGTTCCTTTCCATGCGCCTCCCTTCTCTAGATTGAGAAATGCTTAAGTTGGTAATTGCTGACTGCCTCGTGAGCCCAAGGCAAAGCTTTTGGGGAAATGAGTTCTTTTGTTCACCTAAGATGTATAGGAAGAATTTAGCCTTGTAAGATCTGTAAGGCAGCTGATGGCAGAGCTATTTTCCATACGAGGAAAGAGGCATCAGTTGGGTGGGCAGTGGTCACCTGGCTGAGTTCTGATCTCTGCAGAGGTGAACATTTAAGGTAGAGAAATGCACCACTGTTAAGAAGCAGAGGTGCTCTCCTGAGACACCCTGTAGCTTCTTCACGTCACTGTGGACACTGACCCAGATCTGGCGCGGCTTGGGCAGAGTTGAGAGGGCCAATCACCCCTGGTGAAGCCACCCTCTGGCAGTGCGGGAGGTTTGCCACAGCCCTGCGGGACAGGCCCGGTTTGATCTTAGTATCTGACAGCCTTGCAAGCAGGAGGCACACGTGGTGCCCCCGGGGAAGCCACGGTGGTGGAGTTTGGGGGTACCTGGGCCGGCCTAGGGAATGTGTACCTTATGTGGTCCTCTCAGGTGAGCGTGACTCGGTGGCCCAGGGACCACACAGCTGGGAAAGCTGTGAAGGGGGTGGCCGAGGGGAAGTGAGAATGTCCTCGAGACCCCTGTGTGCATCACTAGGGAGCTCGGGAGTCTTTAAACCAGATGGGGCTTCAACTTGAGCTCATTCCCCACTTTTAGGAATATGTTTGTCTCATGAAGAGAGTCATACCTGGATAGTCCTCACAGACATATTCAGCATTGGTAAGTTCCACAAAAGCCCGAGATACAGAATGGAATTTCCCTTTTGCATGTATCTGCTTTTAACTCTTTGCGGACTGTTTTATGCTTTTTTGGGTCTGTTTTTGTGTTTTGAGACAGTGTGTCACTATGTGGTCTGAGCTGGCCTTGGACTCACTGTGTAGCCCAGGTTGGCCTCAAACTCACAGTGATCCTCCTGCCTCAGCCTGTTGGACGTTGGGTTTGCACTTTCGTTCCAGTATGTGGAAAGCACATAGACATGGTCCCTGTGATGTCATCTTGTGTTGGCTGTGTGTGGGTTCAGGTGGAGGTGAGGCCTTAGATGTGGGTGGGGTCTCTGGCTTCTGGCATGGCAGGGATCTACCGTAGGACTGACTGGAGCGTGGCCATGAGTAGCCGCTGCAGGAGCTGGTGACAGACTGGCTGCTGGAGGTGCTGCTGAAGGGCCGGGTGCTGGTGCAGATGGACAGTTCTGAGCTGGAGCAGCCTGCGTGAGGACGAGAGGATGCGTGTGAGTGGGGCTTCTCAGCTTTCAGTCTGTCAGTGGGAGCCGTCCGGCTGTGACTGACACGAGGGGCTCGTGAAAGGGGGTTTGCGTGCCCCTTCGGG